ACATACCTCCTCCCTCACCCCCATCCCAGGCCCCAAGAAGACTTTCCACATCAAGCAGATGTTCACCTGCACATCTGCCAATGTGGTATACTGCATCCGCTGTACCCGGTGTGGCTTCCTCTACATCGGGGAAACCAAGCGGATGCTCAGGGACCGCTTTGCAGAACACCTACGCTCGGTTCGCAATAAACAACTGCACCTCCCAGTCGTGAACCATTTCAACTCCCCCTCCCATTCCTCAGATGACATGTCCATCCTGGGCCTCCTGCAGTGCCACAATGATGCCACCCGAAGGTTGCAGGAACAGCAACTCATATTCCGCTTGGGAACCCTGCAGCCCAATGGTATCAATGTGGATGTCACAAGCTTCAAAATCTCCCCTCCCCCTACCGCATCCCAAAACCAGTCCAGCTCGTCCCCGCCTCCCTAACCTGTTCTTCCTCCCACCTATCCCCTCCTCCCACCTCAAGCCGCACCTCCATCTCCTACCTACTAACCTCATCCCGCCCCCTTGACCTGTCCGTCCTCCCTGGACTGACCTATCCCCTCCCTAACTCCCCACCTACACTCACCTTTACTGGCCCCATCTCCGCCTCTTCGACCTGTTTGTTTCCTCTCCACCTATCCTCTCCTCTATCCATCTTCTATCCGCCTCCCACTCTCTCCCTATTTATTTCAGAACCCCCTTCCCCTCCCCCTTTTCTGATGAAGGGTCTAGGCCCGAAACGTCAGCCTTTCTGCTCCTACGATGCTGCTTGGCCTGCTGTGTTCATCCAGCCCTGCACCTTGTTGTCTCAGAAACTTTTCAAAATTACTTTTACAAAATTAAATGCAGAGTGCAGTTCCTGCTACTCTATCAGTTCTTGACTGTGACAATAAGTCCCTTCCTTAGATTGATATTGCACCAGTGGGCATGCAGCATGTTCTGTAAATTCCATCTGTTACTCATTGTAGTTATGTTTTTCTGTGATCTTTCCAATAACCTTTTTCTTCTGTAATGTTGGATATGCTTTAAAGTTCCAAAGGAGATGAAGGAGGAAATTTGTGAGGCTATGCCTAGAGTTATGAATGTGTTGGGAAAAAAAATTGGTAACTGGAAAGGTTCCTCAACATTAGAAAAATTGTAACACGCAATAATAGGACCGATATTTAAGAAAAGCCTTTTGACTCTTTAAACCACTTCCTGTTCTTGAATTCTCTTCCTTGTATCTCATGAGATCTTAGATAACATCTTCTTGCTGCAGTATAACCAGTTTACTGTATGGTGTAACTTGATATTCTTGGATTTCCTTCTCTGGATATAACTGCAGTGGAGTAAGATGATCACTCAATCTCATTGTAACTTTGACATATTTTCCAGGATAAATGTTGCTTTTGTCATGCAGTGCATGCTTGGGGTGAGATTCCCAAAGGATGGGATGACAATAGATATCCCAACACTACAACAAAGATAAATTAAGCGATAACTACAGCAAAACAATGAATGCTGCTAGCTCCTGAAGATATCTGTCACTTACTTGGAACAGACTGAAAGGAATGGGCATAGTCTCTGCTGTGACATACATAAGTTAAGGTAGCAAACATGGCTGCTGAGCCCTCTTGGCCAGGAAGGAAGCATCTACTATGCCCTCTCCCATGATGTGAAGCTAGCACCATCAACACCCTGGGACATCCACCAGATGGTTCAAAGATGGCTGGGTAAAGGTAAAATGGGTCAGTTTCCACAATATGCAACAACTCAGAGATATCCATGGACCTCTGGAATCTTCCTCCCCTCCCCTTCCTTATGACTCCATCCCCTAACAGTCCCCATTAACAACTATCCACCCTCCTAGCGAGATTGTTATTAACTCCTTTGTCTATCCAACTGCTCTTCTCTCTCTTTGGGTTCTATCCCCACCTATCGTTTACTCCTTAACCCCTCCCCATTTCTGTCTTCTGCAAATAAACTGACATTTTCTTAGCTACGATCAGTTCTGAAAAAGGGTAACCGGACCCGAAATGTTAACCTTGATTTTTCTTCACAGATGCGGCCAGATCTGCTGAGCTTTTCCAGCAACCTCTGTTTCTGTTCCAGTTTCTAGGCTGCGTCTCATTGTTTTGTATTTGCATGTGACAAGCAGGGAAGGATGTCTAGGGATGATCTGAACAGAATGGGAGGGAGGAAAATCGAGACCAGAACTAGGCTGTACCCTTTCTACGGCTACCAGTCATTAATTGGGCCAAAACAGTGGGGTAAATGATGTGTCTACTGTATTACTATGAATATATGGTCAATTTACTAGCTTTTAAATCGACATTCAGCAGAAACAGGAAATATTGAGGACAGAATCTATAACATCCCTTCAACTTCATCTGTAACAAATTGCATTACTAGGTATACAGTTTCTTGAGACTGCACTGTAAAGTGAATAGCCCGTATAAGTCTTCGTATGACAGAGCAGCCTGTACACACTGCAGCCTGCAGAGGCTGCATTACATGATACGGTCGTCAGGATAACTGCTGTACATTAATTAAGCGCACCGCCTGCACAGATTGTGTAATACATAACAGAGGCCTGTGCAGACTGCGATGCATGATGAAAAGTACAGCCTGCACAGGCATTGCATTGCATGACAGAGCTGCCTGTACAGACTGAGGTACATTGTAAAGCCCGCGCAAACACTGCATGGCAATGACAAGCCGTTTGCGTGAACCACGGCGCAGTAGATCGAAAAGACACGCAACTGCGCGACAGGAGAGGGGCATGAAGGCAGCTCGGGACGTGCGCATGCGCTCGGCAAGGGCACGTGAGCACGGGGCCGACCGTGGACTGGCCGAAAGGAGCCGGTGGAGGGAGGGGGGAGAAGGCCCCAAACTCCCAGCAATGAATGAGTGCGCGAGCCGGCGGAGGCCCGCTATAACCAGGCGGCTCGGTTTGTCCGGTTCGGTGAGCGGTTGTGTGCTCTGATCGCGAGGAGGGCGGAAGGCTGGATGTTACCCTGGTGGTGGAGGAGGAGGAGAGGCCGGCAGTGAGTGAGTGCCGGGTCCTGTCCCTTCTCTTTACCCCCACCCCCTTCCCCCCCTCTCCCGGGAGGGGGGCCGGGAGCTGCGGCTGCGCTGGAGCTGGAGCTCGAGCCGAGTGAAGCGGGGGCCCCGAGGCCGAGGCGGAGGCCCTGGGGGCAGAGACAGAGAGCCAGGCCCCGGCCTCTCTCGCTCAGTGATGTGGAGTGCGAGAGCCTCCCCTCAGCCAGCTGCCCACCATGGAAACTCACGACCTGCCGAGAGAAGGCACCGACTGTGAGGAGCGCCCGGCGCTGAGCGGCGGCACCACCACCACCAGTACGAACAGCCCGAGGCTCCCGGGCCTGCTGTGGGAGCCCAAGTACAGCCTGGTGCAGGAGGTGGGCCGCGGCAGTTACGGCGTGGTGTACGAGGCGGTGGTGAGGAAGAGCGGCGCCCGGGTGGCCATCAAGAAGATCCGCTGCGACGCCCCGGAGAACGTGGAGCTGGCCCTGTCCGAGTTCTGGGCTCTGACCAGCCTCAAACGGCAGCATGAGAATGTGATCCAGTTCGAGGAGTGTGTGCTGCAACGGAACGGCATGGCCCAGAAGATGAGCCACGGCAACAAGCGCTCCGAGTTCTACCTGCGCCTGGTCGAGACCTCGCTGAAGGGCGAGCGGATCCTGGGCGCCGGCGAGCCCTGCTATCTATGGTTCGTCATGGAGTTCTGCAACGGCGGCGACCTGAACCAGTACGTGCTGTCCCGGAGGCCCGACTCGGCCGTCAACACCAGCTTCATGCTGCAGCTGACCAGCGCCATCGCCTTCCTGCATAAGAACCACATCGTCCACCGCGACCTGAAACCCGACAACATCCTCATCTCCGAGAAGTCGGGAGTCCCCATTCTCAAAGTGGCCGATTTCGGCCTCAGCAAAGTTTGTGTGGTGGGCGGAGGAGCAGCCACTAACAAAAACGTGAATGTGAACAAGTGCTGGTTGTCCTCCGCCTGTGGCTCTGACTTTTACATGGCTCCAGAGGTCTGGGAAGGACACTATACGGCCAAGGCTGACATTTTCGCTCTGGGGATCATCATATGGGCCATGATTGAACGAATAACTTTTATTGATGCTGAGACTAAGAAAGAACTGCTTGGGACCTATGTTAGACAGGGCAGTGAGATTGTACCTGTAGGGGAAGCATTGCTAGAAAACCCAAAGATGGAACTACACATCCCGCAGAAAAGGAGGACTTTCATGTCTGAAGGGATCAAACAGCTTATTAAAGACATGTTGGCTGCTAATCCACAGGATCGTCCCGACGCATTTGAGTTAGAAACTAGGATGGACCAGGTCACTTGTGCTGCATAAATTATCTATTATAAAGGGGATACTCTTGTAAAAGGTATACCAACAGTAAGCAAAATATTGATAATGTGGATTCTTGGTCATGTGTAATTCTATGTACCACACTTGCCTTATTTAGTGTATATAGTTTCTCCTGGATTGTAAAGCATACAGTGTCAGAACTTAGATGTTTTCACAGTGTCGTCTTTTTCAAACGCTTTTAACTCTGACCCCATTTTGATTTTAATTTGCCCAATTTAAGGACTTTTTTTTAATTATCAAGAAAACAACCTAACATTTGCTTTCTTCGTTGGAAGAGGAAGGTGGGCACTTTTCTTAGAAAGCTCTGTGATTCTCTTGCAGCGCAAACAATACTTGATGTGTAGAAGAACCCAAAAAGAGCAAGTGTACCCATTAAGTGTACTGTGTTCTTTATGTCTGGTTGGGTACTGAGAAATAATGCTAGAAAATCAAGAAGTCGAGGCAGGACCAAATCAAATTGGTGTTAGAAATATGCTGTAGTTCTATTGCCAGTGACTCACTCAAACCATTCCCCACTTGCACTTCAAATAAGTCCTAGTCTTTCTCAAATACCCTGGAATTCTTTCACTGTTAGGGTTTGGAATGTGCTAAAATATTAATTTCCAATCACATTATTTGCAAATAGACACAAGACTAGTAATGTCACTTAGACCATAATGAGTATTTTACCAGCAAACAATTAAAGTTTATACATGTTATTCTCTGGGATTGGTGCATTGTGAATCAAATGTTCGATTAAGAGTAGAATTGAAAATATTGGATATCACTTGGCTGGTCAGGTAGTGACTGGGGAAAAAGTGACTTTTAATATTGACACAGTTCCTCAGTCGTTATGGATGATTGTTTTGCTTGTAACTACTGGTCTATAAGCTAATATAGGACGTAGTGGTTTTGATTCCTTTTGTCTTCACAAACGTAATGCTAATAGACATTTTGAGAAGTTGTGCATTGCTTTCTCGCTTGGTATCAAGAAAAGCTGCTTAAATCCTTGCCACTAATACAGTGTTCCGTATTATATCAATAAATAACTATGTATTTTAGAACTCCCTGCTCAATTAGATACTGTCAAATTGATAACTTTATGCAACCTTTCTTCTGCATTTAAATTATTTTCATAATTTGGAACAGTTCTTCCCTGTCCTGGCTAAATATCTTAATATTTGTGGTCTGTTGTGTTTCTGTTGTTGTTCTTAACTTCTTCAGTCCCACGAACTTTCCAACAAAGTAGACATGGCATTTTAATTGTTTTACGAAGATGTTTTAAGAATTTGACCCATAGTTGAGATGGAGGATTTTTTCAGGGGCATTGCACTACATGATAGCATCATGCATTAGTGATGTACATTAAGCTCTGTTTTCCTCAGAACTGTGGAGTATTGTTTAGCCTGTTCCTGTTTTGGTGTATTTGTGAACTTGTGTACATTCTCTATTTAACTCAATTTTAGTTTGAGGGTGGGATGAGAATGAAAGGTGGCAGAAGCAAAATAACACAGCAAATATTGTCAATATTGAATGCAGGCAATATAGTTAAAGTTTTTGTGTAACTCATCGCAAGAAATCTGATGCAATTAAAATAGGTTAATAGTATTTGATGTATAAATTGCCTCAAATATGAAAAGGAAGTTGGGGAATAGTGATCCATCAGATTGCTGCATTCATGCTGTAGTGAGGCGAGTGTGTTTATCCAGAACACACACTGCACGAACAAAACAGTTGTTGAATGTAAGTTTATTTTTTTCATTTTTGCAAGCACCAGTTTGACTGTTGTTTTTATATTTTGTAGAAAGAGGAAAATGCAGATTTTTATGGGTGAAATCTGGAAATTATGAAAGTCAATCATTTTCATATTTGTTAATTAATGGAATTGCTCGTCTAAACCAGTTAGTGGCCCAACAGCCAACTAGTAAATATTTTGTAGTCTGGAGTGAAACTGTAGGCAGCGTTGTGTACCTTTTTCAACTGAATTTGTGTATAGTTTGGGAATATTTTCGTTAGTCTTGCTGACTTGTTATACTTTTACATGCAATTTTTTTTCTGCAAGCATGTGTTACAAATGTCCGTGTAAACTGTATGATGAATATCCCATAAGAATGCTGTTTAGTAGCAGAACTTCTGAAGATCAATGACTGTATTTGCAAACTTTATCTTTTGGCTTATGAAACATTTTGTCTTTTGGCTGTTGCTGAATTTATTCTGCCAAGTTTTCTCTGGACGTGTAGAAAACTTTTTTCAAATGGGGATATCCAATTTTCTTTTTACTTTCAGTTTCATTTCTTTATTTTTGAGAAGTTTGTTCTTGCACAAAATTGCACTCTGTAGCTACTAATCTAATTCTTACATGTGTCCTGATGGAGCAATAATATTATGCAGGCCACTTTTGCTTCTTTTAAAAAAAAAGTTGAAGATGAAAGTTCAGTGAGGATATGTGTAACCTTTGTTAATACCTAAGGTAATTGAGGCTAGTTCGCTAAACTGGACATTTATTTTTATCCTACCTAGCTTCATAAAGTGCAGCAATGAATTTTACATTGATTTTGCACTGCAAATGGTGTTAAACTTTTGAGAGCAGACCCATAATCTGGAAAACTAGACACAGCACAGCACAGATGTAAGTAGCCTTTCTCTATGTACTACTTTCTTATGGCCAGGAATTGAGCATACATTATGTAGGATATATCCCTACAATGAGAATTCAAATTTAGAATTTTATGGGAGAATTTAAAGTCTTGATCAAAACTAAAATGAGATGCGAAAAGTAGTTGTTCCATTAAGTAGTACTTAGAGATGAATAGTTGCTGTTGTTTCTGAGTTCAGCTTAAGTTAATGTCTGAACCATTGATCTTGTTTTGTTGCAACTTTGTATTTTTTACACTTAATGTAGCCATACTACCACATTCACTTTTCAGTTACGTACTGGATAAAAAGTGACTGTACTGACTAGAGCATTCACAACAAAAATTGCATTTGTTTAGATTCACAGGAGTGTTATGGGACAAAAGTTAACAGTAAACCAGAGGAACATTTCTACTCAAAAGATTATTTCTTGGAAATGTATTAAATTTAGTGGTTCTCTGTTTTGAAAAAATGTGAGTTGGTTACTGTAGTTTCATTTGTATTAACATTTAATGTAGCAATTAGCAGGTATAGGTAAAACAGATGTATTGTGTAGCTACAGATTTCCTTTATACCCAAATGCAAAGACTTTGACCTTTTAGAGGATCTGAAACCTGTTGTTTTTTTTTGAGAACGCTACAAGCTGAATGTTCATTTTTCTATAATAAAACAATGAACCGTGGATGCTGGAGAATTGAAACAAACAAAACAAAAATTGCTGGAGAAACTCAGCAAGTCTGGCAGCATCTCTGGAGAGAAAACAGTTAACCTTTGAGTCCATTGACCCATCTTTAGTACATGATGATAAAGTCAGGATTGAACCTAAGAGTATGGAATGCAGTTGGTTCACAGGGTGATAGGTTAGAGTGGGTGAGAGGAGTAGAGAAATTAAGGCAACCAGTATCACATGCTCAGTGTCAGGTGGAGGGGAGGATATTGGAAGTGGTTGAAGGGGTTTGTGGAATGGGGAAGAGGATCTTGCCCAAAGAAATGGGCATGAAGGTGACAGGTATGACACAACATTGAACTCTGAAATCCATTTGTGATATGGGCACAAAGGGATGAAACTGAATCCTTTGAGTACAGAATGTTCATCATTAGAACAGAAAGCCAATATGTGTAATAAATAAGAGTTGGAATGTCATTTTGCGCCTGTTCAGGACATTGGTTCGGTCACTTTTGGAGTACTGCATGCAATTCTGGTCTCACTCCTATAGGAAGGATGTTGTGAAACTAGAAGGGGTTCAGAAAAGATTTACAAGGATGTTGCTAGGGTCAGAGGGTTTGAGCTATAGGGAGAGGCTGAATAGGCTGGGGCTGTTTTCCCTGAAGCGTCGGAGGCTGACCTTGTAGAAGTTTATAAAATCATGAATGGCATGGTAAATAGGCAAGATTTTTTGACTGGGGTCGGGGAGTTCAAAGCTAGAGGGCACAGGTTTAAAGTGAAAGATATGAAAGGGACCTAAGGGGCAACATTTTCACGCAGAGGATGCTGTGTGTATGGAATAAGCTGTCAGAGGAAGTGGTGGAGGCTGGTACGATTACAACGTTTAAAAGGCATCTGGGTGGGTATATGAATAGGAAGTGTTTAGAGGGATATGGGCCAAATGCTAGCAAATGGGACCAGATTTAAATAGGCTATTTGGTCGGCATGGATGAGTTGGCCTGAAGGGTCTGTTCCATGCAGTATATCTCTATGACTCTAAATACCTGACTAGGTGACGTTAGGAGAGGGGCAGAGAGGAACGTTCTAAAGGTCCATAATCTTACCCTTGCAACCCGTTCTGCCTTTGAGCAAGATCGTGGCTGCTTTTACATTTATAATAAAATTCCAATGCATGATTTGCATGGATGTTTCATAGAGAATGATGTGAAAGTTGGAGTCTTGATATAGGAGATTTCGTGTTTTCTTTTGATTTTTAAATTTCGACTTTGCCACACGGACCTCAAAGTAAGCCATGCTGAGAGATGTAGTGTTTCCCTTTAGAACTGTACAGCTACTCTGTACTGCATGTTCCTGGTGTGGAACTGGAGCAGTCCTAATGCTTTCCAAACCAATTGCATTAAAAGATTCTCAGAGACAGCCCTCTGCTGCCATCAAAAACAACACTTGCTACTACCAGAAAACAAACGACTGCAGAATAAGATGATTTTAAAATAAGTTCACATAGACCAAGTTAAAGATTATGACACAAATTGTGTGAAGGTAGAAGTTGAAATATTCTGAAACTTAAAGGCTAATAAAAATGCTCATGGAGATGTGCTAATTTTTTTCCCTGGGTCAGTTTTCTTAATGACCACTGTTTAAAATCTTGTTACCTCTGAACAATGTCTAACTTGAAGTGGGGTTTCTAACAGCAGTAAGGGAATGGAAATGTTGAAGTTCTCAGGTCTTGGTGCAGAGCAGTCTGCATCCATCCACATCATTGTGATAGAACTGAATGCCATACTACAACTTGGGGTTTTCTGAGAGTGCCCAACCCCCTGCAGTTGGAATAAGTTTGAGAGAAAATGAGGGTGGTTGGGGGATAAAAAGGTCTTGCATTTGTATAGAGATTTTCACAACCAGAAGGAAGACTTAAATGGAGAAATTAATATGAAAGAGAGCTGGCTAGAAATGTAGAACCATGTTTTTTCAAGTATCTTAAATAAGATTAACTAAATTTAAGAGGGACTGACCTGGGAATTAATAATGAGAAATGATGGAAATGTAGAAGCTTTGAACAGGAGTTTTGTCTGATTATACTGTAGAAGACATGAAAAACAAATATCCCAAGAATGCTTGAAAATTAGGAGGTGTGCAGGAGGGAAGAATTCAAAACTATCATTATTGGGAAAACTGTTAGACCTAAAAGGTGACACATCTTTTGACATAATGGTTGTACGTTGGATCTTGAAAGACGTAGCTGCAAATATAGTTAGTTGTGGTGTGGGGGCTAAAAAGGATTCTGGAAAAGTTCTAGCTGGTAGGAAAATTGCTACTATAAATGTCTGTTCAAATAAGCAGGAAATTGTGCATTAGTTAGAACATGGGAGAAATTCTTAAGGAGATAAATATAGAAAAATTCAAAGTAATCAGATAATAAACATAATTTTGTGAAAGGGAAGTCCTGTTTGCTTGTTACTTCAAATAACTAAAATTAGTCAATGTGGATAAGGGGGAACCTGTAGATGTGGCCTGCTTGGATTTCCAAAAGGGATTTAATAAGGTGACTCACTAAAGGTTATTATATAAAATAAAAGATCATGGTGTAGAGTAACACAATAGCATGCATAAAGGACTGATTAAGCTAACAAAAAGTAAAGAGTATGATAAATGGGTCATTCTTTGGTTGTAGAGCTATTATTCATGCACTGTTATAGGAATCGGTGATGCCTCAACTGTCAACTGTATTCATGATTTGGATGAAAATACCAAATGTATAGTAGTTCAATTTGCCAATGACACCAATATAAGTAGGGGAGTAAGTTGTCAAGTAATTGTCAAGTTGTCAAGTAGTTGTCAAGTTGTCAAGTAATCTACAAAGTAATTTAGTCAGGTTAAGTAGATGGTAGTTTGCCTGTTGGATTGAAGTGTGGACAAATTCACACTTTCACATTTTGGCAGGCAAAATAGAAAGAAAATACATTTTTCTGAAGAGAATTTTACAGTATAGACAAATATTAATAAAATGTAGTATGCAGGCACAGCATGTAATTAGGAAGACAGTTGGAATATTGGCATTGGAAATTGAATATAAAAATAGGAAGTGCTGCTACAGCCTTAACTATATGACATCTGGAATACTATGTGAAGATTTAACCATTTTGTATAAGGAAATCACAACGTTAGAAACAGTTCAGAGAAAATAATCCCTTAGTTGAAGGAGTTATCTTCTGAGGAAGAATTTACCCGCAGTGTGCCATGAGGATCGGTACTGGGTCCATTGCTTTTTGTCATTTATAAAGATGATTTGGATGTGAACGTAGGAGGTATGGTTAGTAAGTTTGCAACTGACACCAAAATTGGAGGTGTAGTAGAGGTCACCTCAGAACAACAGGATCTTGATCAGATGGGCCAATAGGCCTAGGAATAGCAAATGGAGTTTAATTTAGATTAATGTGAGGTGCTGCATTTTGGAAAGGCAAATCGGGTCAGGACTTGCATGCTTAATGATAAGGTCCTGGGGAGTGTTGCTGAGCAAAGAGACCTTGGAGTGAAAGTTTATAGTTTCTTGAAAGTGGAGTCACAGTTAGATACGATAGTGAAGGAGATGTTGGTACTCTTGAGCATAGGAGTTGGGAGGTCATGACATTGGTTAGACCATGTTCGTGTGGTATTCCAAAATTCTGGTCTTTCTGCTATAGGAAGGATGTTGTGAAACTTGAAAGGGTTCAGAAAAGATTTACCAGAATGTTGCCAGGGTCGGAAGGTTTGATCTCTAGGGAAAGGCTGAATAGGCTGGGGCTATTTTCCCTGGAGTGTCAGAGGCTGAGAGGTGACCTTTTATAGAGGTTTATAAAATCATGAGGGTCATGGATGGGGTGAATAGACAAGGTCTTTTCCCTGGGATGTGGTTGGGAGTCCAAAGGTAGAGGGCTTAGGTTTAAGGTGAAAGGGGAAAGAATTAAAAGGAGCCTAAGGGGCAACTTTTTCACACAGAGGTTGGTGCATATGTGGCATGAGCTCCCAGTGGAAGTGGTGGAGGCTGGTACAATTACAACAGTTAAAAGGCATCTGAATGGGTATATGAATAGGAAGGTTTTAGAGGGATATGGGCCAAATACTGGCAAACGGGAGAAGATTTGTTTAGGATATAAGGTTGGCACGGACGAATTGGATTGAAGGGTCGGTTTCTGTGCTGTACATCTCTATGACTGCAAGTGTTGACCTTGCTCGGTCCAAACAGCCGAGGGATAGGCTTTTGATATAACCCATCAATCTTTTGAGTGGAAATCCTTTATGCATTTGAATTTAGAAGAGTGAGATATGGTCATGGGGAAACCTGTAAGTGAAGGGTCTTGACAGGATGGATGGATGGTAAGGTGATGCTCCCTCTTGAGGCAGTCCTAGTTCTAGGACAACAGTTTAAAAACTTGTCCCATTTAAAACAGGGGAAAATCTTCCTTTCTGAGGCACGTTAGTCTCTGGAATTCTCTTCCCTTGAGAGTACTGGAAGTTGGGTCGTTGAATATGTTCTGTTGGAATTTTGACGCACAAAGGAGCCGAAGATTATGGGTGACTGACAGACTGGATTTCAGGCCACAATCGACTAGTTATAATCTTATCAATGGTGCAGTGTGGCCTATTCCTCTGAATTTTTGTGCTTGCATATGCTTTGCAGCCAATTTTAGTACTTCTGAAGTGCACTCTGTTCAGAAAGTTGACAGTTTGCTGTTACCTGCTGCCACAAGAATACCAATAAGGGACAAAACTGACATTTATATTGTACAAGAGTGCTGATTAGTAGAGGCATTGCAACGGAGAATTCAGCAGTTAATGATATCCTAGCAATTCAATGTTCAGACTTCAAACCAGGCAGGTTGACTATCACCCATTTTGTTCAATTGACACAGGAGCAATGTATGCACCTGTACTTTCAGGAGCAGTGTATGCTCCTGTATACTGTTTGCATATTAATACATGTAGCTGCCAATAGACACAAGTACTTCACACTGAGCCCTTGACTGACAATCCTAAAATCAGTCAATTAAATTCTTTGCACTGACAGGATGATCCAGACAATGTTGTCCAGTTGCAAAATTACATCTAATGTTGAAACTGTGGTGTGAGTTTTGCAAGTACTTAGTAGTTGGGCACGGTCAGCACCTTGCTTAGTCCAAACAGCCGAGGGGATGTACTTTTGATATAATTTACCAATCTTTGGGCCATATGGCTTACATACTACATCACAGCAGCACTGAAATTTATTTACCACATTACTCATTTGTGTGATGCATTGTGTCTTTTTAGCTTTTCAGCAGCAGTGAATACCACTTGTGTTCCTACTGCATAGCAGAAACATGGCACATTGTGGGCAGAAGGGGAATGTGTGCCTGCACTACTGCTGTTTCAACTCAGCAGCACAGGTGACACTCATTCTCTGGTTCATTGTTTGGAACGGTGCCCTGAGAAATTGGTCAACCTATCTGGTTTGAAATCTAAACAAAGCTTGGCAATTAACAGTCAATTATCATTAGTTGATGCATTCTCCATGGCAATACCTATTGAATCAGAATCCAGTTGTTAATTAATCAACATTCTCACATATGAATGTTGATTTTCGCCTTTATGGCATTCTTGCAAATTGCTCCACTTCAACAAGCAATGTCTTTTTCAGCAGTTTCTAACTGATGTGTTATGGGTATGTCTCTAGAGTAATTTGCTAGTCCACAGCATTATTCTTTAACTAGTGACAACTGGTCAAGGATAAACCAAACAGCCATCTTTTGGAAGTTTTGGAATGATACCATTATCTACATCATAATCTTTGGCTTGTTACAGCATTCTATATGAAAGATCAAAGCTGCAACACATTTAAATACTAGGGAATTGTGTAAACAAATAGAGCAATGTTGAAACACATGCAAGAGCGTTTTGTTTTACAGTTTCCTGAGGCTTTCATTTACATAAATAGAAATGTTTATCAAAGAACAAATTGATTTTAATTTAAAAGCTTTTGAGGATTGAGAACAACACGCATAAATGTATTGCCCTTGTGAATTATATTTTTTGTGTAATGGAAACTTGTAGCAAGAATTGTCACCTATTGCAACTTAACTGCCCACAGTTTCATCTTGAATGAATCTTCTGATTTGAAGTTCTTGTATAGTAGCCACAGTACTTGTCAGACTTTGATTGTAATCTGTCACTGCATGTAGACATATCTTAAAATATTTTTATGGTTTAATAATTGCTTGGTTCCAGTCATTTTTGTGAATATCTTTTGAAGAATTATGCATGATTCCCATGACTTTTATTAAAATCTTTCCAGCAGTCCTAAAAGGTCAGAACCTGAAAAATTAATGCTATTTCTTCTTCCACAGGTGCTGTCAGACCTGTTAAGTATTTCCAGTAACTTTTACGTTTCTTTCTAGTGATATTCTCCAATTTACATAGTTTTCCAGGATTGGTTTGTGATTGTCTGCTTCAAATACAGTTTCATTTTATAAGCCATTCCTTTTTTTGTTTGTTTCAGGCTGGACAAATTAGAACACGAATTTGCTGTCAAGAATGGAAATTAAATTGAACAGCTTCCTTAGAACATACAGAAATTGAAGTCTTTGCTGCATTTAGAGCTTCAGCACTAGCTGATGTCAGGACAAGGAAAGCTATGCAATTAAATTGCTAAGATTTTATTTTTTTGGGGTGGGAGTGAGTGTTTGCCATGCAATAAGCTTGTATTTACACTATTTGGTTGTTTCTTCACTTTATCTGATTAAATGCTGTGTCCTTGAAGATTTAATTGGGTGGATTGAATTCTTAAAGCTAAATGACCCTATGTTGATTAACTTTTGTTTTATGTTAAGCATTAGATGTTATTGGCAAGAATTTGAGCAGCTGCACTTATTATATACCAGTATGATTTATTTTAAAATGATCAGCATGAGTGACCAGAGTGCCTTATTATTTTGTCAGATTTGTTGATGCTATACAGAATCCAAGGAGCTTTAAATTTCAAAATGTGTAATTTTTTTTGATAATGTACTGGAGAGCCAGTTTCTTTAATATGGCCTGGATGATGTGTTCTGGCAGGCTGAAAACTAAGGGTTAGTTGAACCATAAAATCAGGAATTTCATTGAAATAATTTGTTGAATAAAGAACTTGACCATTTGGAAACTGAAGCTAAACACTTGTGGTTATTCTTCCTCCTTCTGCAGCTCCATTCTTAGTGACCTTTGATAAATAGCTGAAACTTTGGGTCAAGTAGGATCTGATATTTAGAGTCTGTACTTGAAACAAGACCGAAAGAAATTGTCTTCTCTCTAACTTAAAGGATCTTGAATGCGTGAAGTTTGAAAAAACTTGTCCTAGCTGTGTGTCTAATATAGAGCAAAAACTGCCGCAGTCATTTTTACAGCTCGTTAGGATGACAAGTGTGGGAACTGGGAAAACCATATTCTATAAAAGTGTACTTAGAGTTTTTAACTCTACTAATTGAGATACTGTATAGCATAGAATCTTGCTCCACGGCAAAATATAACATTCATGGTCTGTTAGTGGCAGTCTTAACTTTCTACCCACATACCCGGAGAGTGCTGTGAATAAGGTGTGCTACTGTCCACATCGGGAATGGAGTCTCAACTTTAGTACTATTATCTACTGCTGTGCAATAGTTGATCTAGGAGTTCTGACGCTGATACTGAGTAACAAAATAGAGCACCAGCATTCTTCAGTGCGAACAAAAAGTCTTGTTACTGGCAAGTCTAGTTAGTATGAAAGTTCTTTTTTCTTCCCTCCCCTCCACTAGCTTAAACATATTATGGAGGCTGGCTCTCCACATTTTTCTGAACGGTTCTCCATACTAAAGTTGCTACTGGAGTGAAAGCTGTGATTTGTATGACCAAGATGTGCAGATGCCATAGAATCCAGCTATTTGAAATCTGGTGAGAGATTAACAGTTTAGCAAACTTCAGTAGAAAAATGCATTATATTTGCTGTTTAGTCTCCCTCTGTCAAATGTTCAGTGTTGTTAATTTTCTAAACAGCAAAATTAGGATAGTCACTTTTTGTGCTGTTGACAAATTGAATACTTGAGCAACATTTCTAAGAGCACTCAAGATTTGAGTATCTGACTCTTGGTGGAATGATATAAATAGAAGAAAGATTGGAAATCATTCCAATTCAAGTTTATATAAAGATGGCAACAGGTGATATTCATTTTTCATGCGTTTCTGCATAGTTTTGAAAACTTTCCAAACTTGTTTGTAAATTTATTTACCTTAATTCTGACCCTTGTCTACAAGTGATCTTAACTTTTTCTTTTTGGGAAAGTAGTCATTTTTATTCCATAGTTAAAATTATATAGCTGTGGCTATATAGTTTACACTTGACTGCACCAGATTTTCCTTAAACGCATGGTCAAAAATGTATCAGGTTACTACAGCAACCTTTAAGGTATATTGCAGTTTTTCTAAAAAAAAAAGTACTGCTGACCATTAGATGTGAAGAATTTTTACTGCCAAGTTACCAATACAGGAACTCATTCTATTTCCATTGATCAAGCAAAACATTGATCTAACCCACATTATTCACTAAGTTTTTTTCACTCACTCATGAAATGGAGAAATTGCAAGATTATTTTTACATTGGTTGTAACTTGAGGCTTACCACTGAGCTAGCGGGCTTGGATTTAACTTTGCACACTTCTGTTCATTAGTTGTTAAGTGTAGAAGTGCTAGATGAGACATTGCTGTACTTGCAGAAAACGAGCTTTAAATTTATACCATTTAATTGACATTCCACTGAAGGTGTTCTTCCTGTGCGAAAGCTTGTTTAGGCCTAACGCAGTTGGAAGCGGGGTAGATTCTAAGTAATTCTTTGCTTTTAAAGTACTTCATTTTGATTTGGAATCGAGCTAATCCACTGGCAAATGACAGGCCTGTTAATATCGCAAGTGGATGGGATTATGAATCTGTGTAGTTATCCTATTGTCTTCCTAACCTGAGCAGAGGGCTGAGAAAGACTGATCTGTAGTGTTGCAATGATCAGTCTTTGTATTGATGGGTATCTTTTTGCTAAGATTCGGCAAGTGAAGTAGCAGGCCTCAAAATTTATTGGTGAGGGGAAACTGATTTCATTTTCAACAGTGCAATTTCTTTTTCCCTGCCCCTCACCACCTGAAGACACTTGTTATTTTATGCTGAGAGTACTGCTTAAAGTAACAATTCAGTACTGCAGTTTTGGTGAATGCTTATCTTGATCTTGGAAAGTTTTTTTTTAAACAAGGACAAATGTGTGCCAATAATTCTACAGTTATAAAAATGTTCTCAAGCATTAGGTGGAGTTCAAGGCATATTACATTAGATTACCAAACTAAATAAACTTGAGGCTACAAAAAGTCTTTGGAGGAAAAATATTGGGTTGCTAAATCCAAGGATGCTCCAGTACTTTGATCTTTTATGGTGAGTTAATATTTTAAAATTAATAGTTTTGTTATGACTGCTTGTTTTTCCAGGTTCAATGCAACTACTAGAAAATTTGGGAAATAAACCAAATTTCAAACTTTATAATCAGAGTTGAGTTAGAAAACCACAGTGGATTGTACAGTAAAACAGCCATTGAAGCTGCCTTTTTGTATTGTTTCATAAATTAAATCCTAATATCAATTACTTAGGTTTTTGCTTAACATGGGTCGTAGATCTTCAGTCATGGAAATGTCATTCTTTATAATTCAAAATTCAAAGTTATTGTCCTTCCTGGAACTTTAGAAAAGTTTGTTTAAAATTAGAGTAAAAGCAAACGAAGGCTGCTGTGTTGAAAGAATATGGCACTTGCAGTTTGAATTCAAACTGAAATTCCTCAATGACAATTAGTGTTTAATAATCCATGAATGTGGGCTGTTGTTGTAGAATGTGCTCTCCACTACTATTCAGCATATGTTAATTTGGTACTTTTTGCACTCAGCAGCTGAAAGTGCAGAAATGTTTTTAAAGCTCATCTAAAAACATCGAATCACATTCCCAAGTAAACTTGTGTTGAAATAATGGGTTGGGGTGGGGCGAAAAGAGGGAACAGATTTGTGGAGCATTTTGTGCTGGGGCAGAATGATAGTTGTGACTGAGCATTTGGGGTATGTTTACTGAAGCGTCGCTATGTGGTTTACAGAAGGATTTGCTTCAAGAGAATCCTCGTTTGTTTCTACCTCATATTCAGGGTGTCACCTAAGTCATGCTGGATGATGTAACACTGCTTGTTCTCTCTATGGTTGATTTGTCCTCTTACTGCAAATTCATTTCATTAGATTTTCTCCAAGAACCTTAACACTTCTATGCAATTTTTATGTATTTGGATTGAAACACTGTAATGGTACCACAATTTCTATTTATGTTGGTCCCTCTACTTCGAACATAAACATTGTTGTGGACCAATATTTGAACTTTTTTTGATTTTTGTATTTAACATTGATTTGTAGTTTGGACTGGTGCCATTTGAATATTCAAATGATTTGTCTTAGGAAGAATATTTGACATTCATTGCATTTGTTTCAGCAATAAAGAGTTTAAAGTGTCTTCTGATTTGAGAATTTGATTGTGTTCATTTTTTGTGTATAATTTAGTTTCTTGAATTTCATTTGAATTCAATATTTTAAATTGGCAGTTATTTGATTTCTTATTTCTTTTAATAAAAACATTTAACCAGTTCCCATTCAACATAGCTATCATAGGGTTGCGCATAATTTTCAATCAGCAGATGACTTTCAGGCCAAATGCTGCTGGATTACTATATTACTACTACATCTTGCATGAGAGGTATTGCAGATATTTAGTTTATTAAAACTCTTTGCAGCAGGCCCCTGGATGGTTGCAGTCATTCTTAGGAGGAAAGTCTTAGAATTTAACTCCCTTTATGAACAAAACATACAAAATAGAAGGAAAATTACCATCTGAACTTAATTTTTTCATTAGAAATGCTTAAGATCACCTGTTTTATGATGAAAGTATCAATTGCACCAAAAATACTGGTTCCTGCTTGAGTTTAAAGGTAAGAAATCTGCCACTACCTCCCTTCCAAATTCCTGCAACAATTTGGTTTCTTAGCAGAAACTGTCTCCCCCTCACTGGCTGGTCAGTCCAGTCACTTTAGACATTCATTCTCCACCAGGAAGGTCTACAGATCACCCAAGTCATTTTTAAAATGGGACCCAAACAATTTTGACTCATCACCACCATTATTTGCCGAGTTGAACTCTTTACATTTGAACAACACCTTTTCATCTCTTTCTTACATATTAAAGATTTTGTTTTGAAAACACCTATTAGTCCTGGCTTGTGCCTGTTTTATTGTGAGATATATGAAACACTTGCTTCTCCACTTTATTTGGACTCCCTTCCTCATTCCATTTTGATCCAGTATATTGACTAACAATGCTGTATCTTAATGCAATTCTGCTTAATTGCATCAATTTTGCTTTCCATTTCAACCCACTTTGCCTGCATGTGGTTAGTTTCTAACTTTTAACCCATTTTTCACTCTAATTCTAGGGTAGACTGAACCCAAGTATAATGTCTACCACTGCACCTGGACTGACTCTCACCTAACTTCCTATATGGGCTTATTTTTATTCTCCAAGTTTGTCTGCAGCATCATTAGTCTGGAAGTTTGCTATTGTAATGCTTCTGTTGTGCCTGCCTTCCTCTTCAGCTGAGGGTCACCCCTCAGCTGTAGGTTGACCACAGTGTATTTGGTCACTTCCTGTACTTCTAATTTCAGCCTTACATCATGTGAAACTCCTCATACAGTGCCAGCTCCTGTGAAATGCCATTATTGAACCAAGTGGATCATTTGTGGATCTCTAGTCTGTTCTTTCATTGCGGTTGAAACCTGCATAACTTCCCATGTGCGCAGATGATGCTGGAAATTCCCATTCGTTTTCCAGTGTTGAAGGGCACAAACAGTCCTTCCAGATAAACAACAATTTCTATCTGCTTTCAACTTGGTACAGGGAATTCCTGATTTACAAATTCATGACTGACTTACAAACCTGTATGGGGGTGTAATTTTAAACATCTGTGACACATGTTTCCTGTTCTTATGAAAGGCTATTATTGTGCCACATTGTTTTCTGATTTGTCATGCAAATCAATTTGCAAACAGTCTCCAGAATGGAACCTGTTTGCATTCT